TGCCTGTGCACGAGTTATTAAATAAATGACTGTGTGCAGTGGCAGTGGCCCATGACACGCAGCCATTCCACACTCCCGATGCAAATGCAGCGGGATGGATGAAGCTGTCACGCTGCATCCTTGGAAGGGTATTTGTTAGCCTCGTTTTGCTGCTGTCACGGGCTATAGACATCAGTCCAGCCTACCCTCATGCCAACAAGAGTTTGGAAGGCACTGCTTAAAAAACTCACCATGTGGAAAGCAGCACAGAAAATGCTCCATTTCCCTGCATGGCTTTGAGAAGAAAACAAAGACATTTTAAGTAGAGAAAACACAGGTTCAAAAACACAAACACGTTCAACCAAGTGTCTCTTGCTAGATTTTAAGGCTGAATTTCCCCATGCTTCTGCAATTCCATGATGGAGTTCTGAATATCAGCTGCTCAGTGTATCTCCAATCCATATTGATAGTGGATAATATCGGCACTGAAAGGATAGAGAGAATGAATAATTACCCTATAACTGATACCAAGAACGCAAGAGAAGTGCAGCCCCAGAGAAGCTAAGGTGGCTGAGGACCTCCATGCCAGCACCATCACACAGGCCCCTGCTCTAGCACCACAGAGCACAGAGAGCCATCTGCTATTCACCTTCAGTCAGCTGCTGGGCTCTCCATCAGGATTGTTCATCCCAGCAGTGATTTCTGAGGCAGGTACTTGCATACTCCAAATGGCTGTGATGCAACCAGAACCACTTAAGGGCAGCCACTGGAAGGTGGCAGCTTTTGGACAGGATAACAACACAGACAGGACTCAGGTGTCTCAGAGAAGCCAGGATTAGTCACTGGTAATTCTATCCTCACTAAATACCTGCCTTTCAACATCCTACTTCCCACAGTCTGACCCAGTCAGCAGCGCCCCAATGATCCACATGCAGACACACACAACCACACCACCATGTACACACACACATCTACAGATTATAAAAGCCAAAATAACTTTGGCACAACACAAAGAGGTGGTTGTCAACAAAAACAGATGGTCAAAGAATTGGGCAAACACTCAGAGTTCCAGAAATGAAGCTTTTGCTTTCATTCTAAATGCCACACTTCCTTACCCAGCTCCAGACAAGAGGATACATGGAGCCAGTCACAAGCTTGCTTCCTGCCAGGCTTCTCTGTTTTCATGACAAAATTAAGAGTCCACAGATGGAATAACTCAAAGCTAATTTTTACACAGGTTGGTTTCCCCTCTCTCCCTCCTCCCCATGATTCCAAACAACAAGAATAACATATTGTAGGAAAGTAAAGAAACAACTAAAAGGAGGGGGGAGTAAAGTTGCAGTGTGAGGTCATTTTGTTGCTATGACTTCAGTATGAAGGGAGTTCTATTTAATTCAAGAAATTATTTCTTTCGCACTGTGTCTCAGGAAGCCTGTTTCAGCTAAAAGCCTGACAGTATCAGACTCCACCATGCCAAGTTCTTGTTTTTATTTTCTCCCAGAGACTCAAGACAACTATCTTATTATTGCTCTGGCCTGTGATCCTACTGCCACCAACTTAAAACAGTCCAAGTCCTCTTACTCTCACCATTCCCTCCCCTCTCCCAACGCCAGTGGAAGCTGGAGTCCCACTTTCACTGAATTCAATAGAGCCCAGTGGAAAATAGATAAGGTAAATCCTGTTGCTCAAAGGATGCCTAGTTCATAGCACAGTATATCCCAGGTACTTGAATTGTAAGTCCTGAACACTCCCTGAAACTGTGGATACAGGGAGGTAAGTTCAAAGAAGGAAGACAAACACAGTATTAAGAAGCAGGAATACCTAGCAAAGAATATGTTCATCCTTACGTTTAAGTAAGTGAAGTTCAGAAAGATCGCAGCAGCATAATGAATTCTTTTTCATTTCCTCCAAATGGGCACTCCCAAGCACTCATCCAAGACCAGGGTGGACTAAGAGTGACCATCTCCAAGAGTTTTCACTTGCCAACCAGTACTGCCCTGCCAGGTTTCACTTAACAAAGGAACTTGAGTAGAGCGCATTTAAAAATTTTTGTGAAACATGGCCTTGTTTGGACATAGGAAAATGGCACATTTTTAACCCAAACACCCAAAACTTTGAGCAGAAAGGGAATGTCATTGGTCGGTTACATGTTAATTGTTTCCTGAGGGTGAACATGGTATAAATCCAGCATCATTTATGGAAGCTCAGCCCAAATGTCTGTTTTCAGACATACAGAAATACTACAGCCCAATACTAATGCTGGAACAAGCCCACATAAAGGGCCAGCAGGTGCCATGAATTTTGGTACAAGGCATGAGTTATTTACAACTGACTGATACCAACATTTAAAGGAGCTGAAGAACATCAGTCTATCGTGAGACTTGGCCACTTCAAGCTTTTGTCAACAGTGAGTGCATCATGATTTGATGCAGCAATACGATTCCATTTACCTCTTCCAAGGAAATACTACCCTGCTCCAGGTTGAAATCACCATCCTGTTACACATAGCTCTGTGCTGTTCACAAGCCTGAGCAGAGCACTAAGACAGCAACAATTTCCACTTAGGTGAAGGGGGACTGACTGTGAAGATGTTCCTGGCTTTTAACACTGGATTCAGGCTCCTTTTTTCTCCTGTGTTAGAGTTTTCAAAAACCCCCTCCCCAGTGCACAGCCATCAGACAGAGCTAGTTTCCCCACACATCTATTATCTGGATTTTCCCTGCATAAAGCCCCCATTACGGACTGAGCCAAGTGCTCATTAGCCATAGCCAACATTACAAATGGCCGAGGTCAGCTGACTGAGACTGACCTTTCTGAATATCATGCCTCCAAAATAAACTGCACCATTCACACTGTTTGATGTCCTGGTTAATTGGAACCTCTTTCCTGCATTTTGTCAAACGCAGTAAATGTCACAGCAAATTTTAAGTGACAAGAACTTGGAAGACACATTTAATTTCCCAGTGGCATGCAACAAACTAATCCACTGTTTGCAGTACGCTTGTTAGAGCTGATCTCAAAGGTCCAATGTGTAACTAGAGGTTGAGGAATGTTCATTTATAGATGAGCTCCTGCCCTTTGACCTCAGCAGGAGTTTCATTTATGATGATGCAAACTCAGTTGTGTAGAGCTCCGAAAGCAATCATGGTGAGCTGGAAACTCCTGACCAACACATGGACTCTGCTCCAGCATGGCTGCTTTACCTCACCACAGAGGAACACGGGAAATCCAAGGATGGGCCAGGTCAGAACCTTCAGGTCAAGCCGTATCTCCCTGTGAGATGTACAGAAGCCGATGACTGCTCTGCCTGGGGCATATTTAGATCCAGCTCAGAGTTTTGACTCTCACCTTTTCTTCCCAATCTCAGTAACCTCCAGATATAGGTGGGCTGAACATTCTTCTACAGAAAAATAACTCCAGGTTTTGACATGGATCAGGATTTTAACTCCTATGCTGAATCTCACATTCTGGGCCTCTAGGAAATACTGGAGTTTCTTAGGTATTTTTCTTTAACTAAACATGTCTTCTATTTAAACATTCTCTTTTCCACCTTAGACTCAGCATTCATCTCCTACCATACCCACAATACTTATCACAGTCTAGTAAACTGAAATAGCAACTAAAAAAATATCCAAAGAAAAACATTGTGTTGGTTTAAAAGTTAACCAGCAGGGGAAATGAACTCAATTCAAAAGAGAGATTTATAAGTCAGAATAACAATTTATTAAAATAATACAATAAGTACAATTATACAGACAGACAATTGGTTTTAACCCACAAAACCCAAATGTATAACCCAGCACCCTGGAGTATGAACAAAAGTGGTGTTCCTTGGCCCCCCCCCGAGTCCAAAGTAAAGGGAGAGGGGATAAAACCTGCTGGTGGGAGAGCTGCTGCAGTCTGGTCAGAAGTGGTGATTGCAGTCCAGTTGAGGGTGGTGGTCTCAGTCTGGTTGAGAGCAGTGGTCTGCAGTCTTCCTCTGGAGCCCATCAGTGGCAAGGTTCCGAAACTCCCAGTTATATACTCTCCAGTTCAGGCGGGAGTGCTCAGTCCCTCCCTCAGAGAGGGGAATTCCATAAAAGGGTATGAGGACAGGAACATCCCCCCACCTCGCAGGCCTCCACTGACAACAGTTTCTGGGGAATGGCATGGAAGGCTATAGAATACACAGTTTTGGGTTATACCCATCCAGTGATGAATTGGTCCCAGCCGTTCTAAGCAGGACAAACATCTTAGCCCAGATGATGATATTTCGGCAATCCTTTTTTTTCCTATTTCATTAGTTATTTTCCACATTTTGTCACTCGTGTACAACCTTGGTCAGTTCCCTCTTGAAGCTTTCCATAATTTACTACACACCTTCACTTTCAGTATATATAGTTATTTAAATAAGCAAGTTTTAGTATTAGCTGATTGTTCTTAACAATAGGTTAAATTCCAGTGTACCTTGGTAACACAGGGATCTTCAGCTGAAGAAAGAAACCCCAAATGTCTTTAGGAACACTGTCCTGGGTTACACAAAAGATTCTGGTACACACCTTTTCCCTTTTCCCCAGATATGTCTACTAATTTAAACTGTGGCAGGAACTTAAGATGGGGTGGTACTATTATGCTAAGAATGTATCCACAAGTGTGAAAGACTGAAATGCAGATGACTCAGACTGCGACCACCACTTTGACGAGACTGCAGCCACCATTCTGACCGACGAGCACTGAGGTTGCAGCGCCTGAGTCTCATCACTGGATTCAGCAGATGTCTTGCGGGTCCTTCCAGTTGCCCAGGGGGTCCGTAGCCCTGCTCTGACTGCCTGTGCCAGTGCTGCAGCCTCACTCCAGCGCTGATTCTCCAGCCGTTCCTGCCAGGTTTTCCAGGTGAGGGGAGGCCAGCCACAATCCTATTTTGGTCCAGTGGGCAGGGGCTTGGGAGGTTTCTCCTCACTAGTTGGCTTAGCCCAGTTCCATCAGTATTATTGTTGACATTCTTCTTGGTAAAGAGTTATTTTTTCACTTAATCCGCACATATTCGGTCTCTCTCTGTATTGCAGAAAACCAGGGGCACTGAATCCAAAGAAGGACACTTCCGTCCGACATCTCCACCTCCTCCGAATTGTGTCAAACTAAGACAGAACACTAAACATATTTTGAGTAAGCTTTACCACGAGCACCTTTTCACAGTCTCAGATGACAGAAAATATGACTCCACATCCATGATGAATGTCTCCTCCTTACTGGATTTAATGCCTGTCATTTCAGACACTGTTTTCCTTCCTGCTGGCTGCACAACACAAAACCATCACATACTCTTTTGTTGGCTTGACAGCACCACAGGGGTGGAGTGAACACAAGTTTTCACAGACAAGGGACAGAACAAGTCCTACCCCAGGTACAAAAGTCTCACACAGACATGAGAAAAACAATGAGAACTAACAATGGCAGCTTCGTCTAGACCAACCCAGAACTGTCCATGGCTTCCTCATCTTCCCACAGCCATGACAAATACAGTCTGCTCCTCAGAGGCTGCCAGGGTCTGGAAGCTCACACAAAAAAGTGCTCAAGTAACAAGAACCAAGCCAAGCTGCAGCCATTACACCCACGTCATCCACAAAGTACTACATTATGTCTATTACTCTACGGACAGACCAGGCCACATCTCCTCCTCTGTGGCTCGTGGGGCTACAAATAGTTTGTTCTAGGGAAAAATCAGGTCTTATCAGAAAGGTCAGCAGTGTCAGACCACTGCAAGGCTGACGACAAAGCCATAACCACAATGTAAGAACAAAGTATTGAATCGTGCTTGCCAGAGTTGTGTAGGGAATCAGAACACGACACATGTCATTTATCACTAGCTCTGATATCTTTACAAACTTCTGCATACTCCCAGAGTCATCCACTAACTCCAATATCCTGCTCTGTCTTGCAGAGGTCAGCCTGATTTACCACTGCAAAAGGGCCCAGGATCCTCCTAAGTCAGGGGAAAACACTCATTTGCCCCCCTTCTCCAAACTCCAAAGACCAGAGAACTTCCTCTGCTTGCTTTCAACAACCAGTGATCCAGCAGAATTTAGCTAAATCAGTAAGAAGTCACAGATGTATCTTGTAAGCATTCAGAGTTCCCTTTGTCTTAAAGCATTTCTGCAGTAGCTTTTCAGAAGAACATCTGTTGTGGCTCACACCAAAGAATGACCCATTCCAGCAGGCTGTGATGGAGGCCAGCAGCAGGCACCTTCCAAGGGTACAAGAATAAAGCAAGCCTACGGGGACATTCATTCAGAATGCACACCCAGTCCCTAACAACGTGCAGCTCTGGGACTACCTGAGCTACAGATGGCTTTTCTGTGTTCAGTAAGTCTCCATGGGTTTCTATTCCAGGCACTCATCCAGACTCCTCAAGGCCTGACAAGCCATCACTCAAGTCAGACCTGTCTGCAAACGTGCACTCTGCTCCCCAGAGCCCTCCCAGCTGCCTCGCTGCTCAGCCACACCTTCACCTCCAGTAGACAAAGTCATCTGTACAGATCAGCGCAGGCAGCTCGTCCGAGAATCCTCTGCCACCAAAACAAAGGTCCCTGTCCCCTCCATACGTAGAAGACAGACAGCAGACATATAACGGAGAATCCTTCATTGTTCAGCACAGTTTTGTCACACACTTGGAATCTGTCATGGCGTGGGAAGATTCTGACACATGAGTAAGGCAACTATCCTGTCCTGTTACCAGTTGCACTGTTTCAGTGATTTCAGCTCCTCGCCCAAGCCTTCCTGACAAACCTCTTCTCATTCTTACCCTCACAACTTCCTCCATCGCTCTTTCCAGAGCAATGCTGTATCTGAAGAGTTCAATTCCCACAGGAGCTCTCTGGAGTTCAGCATCTTTATTGCTCTTCAAGAAGATAAAAAGCAAACAGCAAAGGAAAAGGAGCGAGGGAAGGAAGGTCCAAATCCCCGCTGCAAGGTCAGGCACTAATATACCATCAAATTGGTAACAAAGAAACTCAGTTAACATGTCCCTTGGGTGACATCACGTACATTCCATTATATCCTGTCTCCTTTCTCCATCTGTCCCTTCGTCTCCGCCCTGACTCTCGACAGGCCAGACCTACTGAGACATGTCTGACACAGCCTGCCCACCAAGGAATGCTGTATGGGAATTTGGCCAACATCCGATGAACATGCCACTGACCCTTCCTCGCTTTCTCCTTCACTCCATCTCCATTTGGAAATAGATTCCATCTTACCCTGCTCAGTAAGTGACCTGCACTCATTGCATCTCTTCTCTGGGCAGCTTATTACTAATTCTAAGCACTTGGCAGCCAGTCTATTTCCTTTTCCATGGGAAATGAGGACCCTGCCACATGACCGCAGATGCTGCTTCCAATGCTAGAGCCCGCTCAGCTGGCAAGAAGCCTTGCTGCCCAGGAACCAGGATCAACATTTCCCAACCACCAGCAGCTGCTCACTCCATCTCTTTCAAGCACAGCATAATCCTTTGCAACCGAAAAAAGCTGCAGGAGGCAACTCCACAGCTTGAAACCTCCGCTCTGACACTTGGCTTGGCATGCATGTTGGCTTTCAGAAGCACCAGCTGAATGCACGACCTTGAGGTTCCTGTCCTTCTGCACCTTCACCACTCAGCACACCAATGCACACCCACCTACTAGCCACCGTCCCCAAAGCAAACCTGGCAGCTTCACATCCTGCACTGCATTAAGAACACTACCTCTGGCCCACAACAGAGGAACCCTGTTCATGCGTGATTTATTCAAGTCACTGACCATAGAGGAAGAAACAGTTCCTGCATCCTTAAAGAGCAAGTGCTCTATTTCAGGTCCTCCATCACACAACTTCTTCTCCAGGACACCAACAGTTAAGACCATAAGTAATACTGACATAATTTAACACAAGTCCCTCAGAATAATTTCACTTGCTCACACATCCTCAGGTGGCAACTTTGAGGATCAGAAACTTGCATACTACACAGAAGATAATAAAATTCAGAGTCTATAAAATATACAAAATGGACTAGGCTACATTGTTACAGAGGCTTAAGAGCCTGAAGCACTACTGATGCATTAGCTATCTCCCACAGAAGATCTTTTTATTCTATGCTCCCTTCTCAGATAAACATTAGCTTTTCCACATGTCTCTTGGGCTGAGGCCAGTGCAACAGCTGAACAGGGGAGCTGTCCTTAGCTCTGCCCCCTACACTTTTTTCCCCAGCACTTATCTACTTCCTCCACTCAAACTGCAGGCTCTGCAGCACAAGTTGCCTTGCACTCTTGTTTCCTGCAATGCCTGATAGCAGGGGCCTGGACTCTCACTGTTGTACATGCAAGCAGTAGCAACAGACAGAAAATTATCAGTTCACCCCATGAAGACTCCCACTTTCACCTACGGGTTCCCACCACCTCTCCAGTCACAGCACATTCCACAAGTTTGCTGCTACAGCAGGAAACTCTTTAGTCTCCAAGCAGCAGCCTTCCAGAACACAAACCCATTCACCTCCAGCCATGGTGTTTGCTCAAACATCATTTAAGTCTGCTCTCGCTTCATTCTGCCTCAGGCCTAAATCAGGTCAAGCAGACCAACCCCAACCAGAAGCAAGAGCTCTCTAAAACCTCGATTAGCGAAGCAGAGGCTTCTGTACGACTGAGAAAGCCTCTCTAATGAGAGCTTTCCTTCCAGCTCTTTGATTAAGCACAGTAGCCAGAACGGCAAAAGTGACAGAAATGTTCAGTGTGGGCCTTACATTTAGCCTGTGTAAGCAGTCAAGCCAACAGCAGCTGATGGAGTATGTGAGCATGCACTCCATGATGTGAGAGCCCTAAGAATAGGCAAGCATAGCTCTGTACCACAGTGCTGCCCATCTCTTAGAGCAGTTACCTCCAAAGACACTGCATGCTCAGTCCATTAAGCTTTGAGCTCTCTGTCACAGATGGTTTAGCTGAAAAACAGGAGCAGGACAGAAGTGCAGAGGTTTCCTTTGTTAGCAGGAGCAAAGACAGGAAGGGGAAAGATGTATGCAGAGAAAGGAAAATATCACACCAAAGGTAAAAATTCCAAATGAAATACAACTTAGAGAAAGCTCAGCTCACTACCCTAAGTTAATTTTAAGGATTTTCAGGAGGCAATACGACAAGCCACAGAGGCAGATTCACACTGTGGGGGTTCTGAGATCAGTGAGTGGGAGGTTCCTTCATACCAAGACAAATCACAATAGTTCTCTTCTGGGAGAGAGAACTGGGGGATGCCTGGGGCTCTCTATAGCTCTTGGGATTCCCTTTATACACCCTAGTGCCATGGCAAATGCAGCACTGGACACTCCTTTTGAGTCAAAACAGTCAGTAGTATATACTGGATACCTAGCTGCCTCTTCTTAAAACAGCCATCATCTTATCTTCACAGTAGCAGTATTTTGCACATGCCAGGGTAATATTCCCTGGCATCCTGGAATCAGAGGCAGGGAAGAGTAAGAGTCCCCTGCATTTATTTCACATTTATCCACAGCCATCAATGAATTCTGCCATATCTGAGCAGTACAGAGCAGCCCCTGTAAGCGCTACCACTTAGAGCATGTATCTCCTACTTAACCTTAACACCTCACCCAGCAGAGGCAAACAATTTAGTTACTCCAAGAAAACACACTTAATAGCTTCCTTTTTGACAAAGTTTCTGGGAGCCAGGGTCTGCATAAAGCATTAGGTTGATCTACCCTGTCCTGCAGATACACACTGCTACACTCACTCTGGAAGCTGGGGCTGTGCGTATCAGCCAGAGCCAGAAGTAGTCAGGCAAGTTGCAGAGAGCTAAATGCTCCCTGCCAACAGCCGCTCTCATTTCCTTTAAACCATCGATAGCCAGAGGGTCAGCATGTACATCCTGCACCTTTAAAAATGGGTTTGAATCTAACATTTTTGCTGCCTCTGTGCTGTCAGATAGGATAAATTTTTAAGTCATCCACTGCTGTATGTTACACATAATTGAAAAAATGATTTTGGATAGATATTACAATGCTCCAGTGGCATTTCTTTCACTTGACCAGCATTATCTGCAACAGCATCTATCCTTCTCAGGATTTGGTGCTGTAGATGTCCTACCCAAACAAATTTCCATAGTGACAGACAATTTGTCCTGCCTTTATTTTCCCCCTCAAACATTCCTCGGGGAAGTAAAACTTCCCTCCCTGCTAGGCTCTTAAGTCTTTCGTACGATTAGTTTATCGATATGCAAAGATATATCAGCTCTTTCTTCCCAGGGAGAACAGTCACCTCATGCTTTCCTGAAATTACCATACAGATTTGCTTACAGAGAGACTAATATGATTTTCCTTATTTAGAAGCCAACAGCTGTTTAATATTCCATGTTCTGTTTAGCCTGATTTGTGTCAGGCTTGAGGTGTCAAAAGCAGAGAGGCTGGCCATAGACACTGCTGATGGGGGCTAGTCTGGGTCTGGAAAAGCCAGACCAGAGCAAGTTAAAACATTAACAACTAAGAATATTCTCATTTTCAGCTAAGAGCTCCTATGGGAACCAAAATAACACAGGAAGGGCTGCAATCCACAAAGCTTGGCTTCACTGAGCCCTGGCTAGTCTGTCTTCAGGAGAAGCCAGGCAAGGCCAGCTGACTGGAAAACAACCCAGCAAGAGTCACCACACAGCAAAATTATCAAGGAGCCCCTGGCAGCTTGTCCCAGGGGTGGCTGGAATCCAGTGAACTGGCACTTCCTCACCTGTCTAAACCAAGGCTCAAGAAGAGCCTTGGGGTCAAACATCAGCCCCTGAGCACGTGCCAATCTAACAGCATAAACAGAATGAGCTGCATTATCACACAGGAAATCTAACTCCCTTTCCCCAGCCTCAGCATTTGTGACTGAAAACACAAAACAAAGTTATTAACCAAGAGATACTGGAGGTGTTTAACCAAACTCCAATCCCTTGGTTCTCCCTAATATGCAGCCACCAGATCACTTTGGAGAAATAAATAAATAAATAAATAAATAAATAATATTTGTAGGTCTGTACGGCCAAGAAAAGCATCTAGAATTTGAAAAGGAAGAAGGGAGTGTTTAGGGAACATTTGTTCTCCATTTGTCTCACGAGCTAACTGGCTAACATCACACCTCCCAAGCAGGAAAGCTGCTCCATTGCTTTTCATTTCTCATCTCTTTCTGCTAAGACACCACATTTGCAGAGACATCAGTCAGAAAAATGCCCCTTTGTACCACCATGATCTACCCTGGCCTGACGCATTTCAGAACAGTTAATCACCTCCTTCAGAACAAGGCCAGCCCAGAGTCCTTTCTTTCACCACTGCACACACTCTACAACCCTGCAGGCAGAATTCCTGGGATGCCACAAGGTAGAGGCTCCTCTGTCTCCCTATCTCTTAAAGCCCAATAAAAATTATTTACAGCCTCTCCGGGCTATCTGGTTTAATCCTCTCCAGCTCAAGTATGACACTTGCTGGGACACTATTAGGTTTCTTACGGTGCTGTGACTAGCAATCACATCTGTACCTGACTGTCAGGGGACACTCTTGGCTGAGCCGGCCACCCTGGTCTATTGCTGAGAGCTCTGAAATTTCTCAATTGAAACATTTGAAAGTTAATGAACCCTTCTAACACAAAGCTCCCACAGCTCAAGAGTTCTTTATGAGCCCAGCACACGGTGGATGCACAGGAAAACCTCACTTCAGGCAGGCCTCTCTTTTCAGAACATGCCCAGGCAGAAGGCTGGACTCTCAGGAACAGCAAATGGCAGCCAATAGCAAAAGGCACAACCTACAGAGTATCTTGGATGGCTCTGCCATATAGTACTCCAGGTCACAGCAATGCCTATAGCTTTGCTACAGGCAAAGATATGGTTTTAACTCACCAGTTAGAAAAATCAAATAAAAAGAAGACATCTCACTGCAGAAGTATTACATCACCCAAATGCCCCTGGGTAGGGAGGCGGGTCCCAACCTCACTGAGAGAAATGCAGTATTTGAAATAGGGGTGGCAATAATCACAAGCTCTCACTGAATGAACATGTGGCTGTTATAAATGTAAAACCACTCTTAACTATCTAAAAACAGTTAACTCACAGTCACTGAACAAATGTGAAACAAATGTAAAATGTGAAACAAATGTAAAATGTGAAAAAAACTCTGGAGTCAGCAATATAGAAATGTCATTGCAGGAAAAAAAGACAATCTTTTCAAAGCAACAATTTACTCATGTGCATCTTCATTTGAACTTTGGTTCATCTTCCAGGAATACCTTTCTGTCCTGTGGAACCTGTACCTTAAAGCAATTGGATCTAGAACCAGAGCCCATTCACTCAACCCTCCACAGTTCCACTATTTGCAATCTCCAAAATCCATTAGTACCTCAAGACACAGACTCAGACACAGAGAAGTGTTGCTGTTTTTACAGGCATTTAACAAGTTCTTCAGCAGAAGGCAAGAACAGGAGACATTACCAAAGAAACACAGTGCCTCTGCCCCAGAAGCACAATCTCCTTCCAGGTTTCCCTCATGTTCCTCC